TATGTATTGTGTCGGTGCTCCGCAACATCTGAGACAGGGGCGTAGACAGGAATTTTCAATGGGGGGGGGGGGGGTCTGAAATTTAGGTGCTCCCGAAGTATGTGTACTAAATGGCGCACAACCTCAATGTCAACTTTGTATCATTCGACTCAGAAATGATTCCTGATTACGGGAAACTAAAGTTGACATCTTAAAAGTGGAGCAATTATGCGCAAGAGGCGCCGAAACTTGTCCTGTCGGGCCACCTTAATCAGAAGAATGACGTAAAACATCTTTCGGCAAACTTGGTTGATTTGCAAATAAGAACGTAAAATAGGCGTATTTTGTGATATTTATTTTACATGTTTAATTATTTTCCAATTTATATAATTTTTTTTATCGTAATACCGTCATGTAAAACTGTCATGTTGCGAATATTCGTCTGGTAGGATTTTTTCAGATATTTCAGTGTAGATTAGTGGTGTGCAGAATCCGGTTACCAGATTTAAATCCAGCCGGATTTTTATGACTTTTCCGATATAGGATTGGATCCGGATTCGAAAATTAGCCACTGAGCCGGATTCATCCGGATTTTGAAAAATCGAAATATTTTACTTATTGATGGCGCTAATTACGATTTTTTTTTAAATTTTGGATAGCAAAATAATAAATTTCTCTCTATCCTATGTGCTCTTCGTCAATCTGCACCACACATTTTATTCGCACGGGATTCGGTGAAACGTCGGCGCGTGTGGTTTGGTACAAGTTCTTGTTCCAATCTAGCTATCTTGAAACTCTTGTTTGCTAATGGCTGATTCAAGTACCAGCACCGATGCCCTTGCAACACCTGGTGTGATAATCGAAAAAGAACTGGAAGACGCGAGAAGCGAAGTTTGGAATAACTTTATACTACTATTCAGTGGGTCAGAATATACTGGTTATGTCAGGTGTGGTAACTGCAAAAAAGATTTCAAACATGACAGAGCACTTAGTGGGACTAGCCATCTTGTAAATCATTTAACTAAATGCCGAGGATTGAGCAATAGTCTGAAAAATAGCCAGGGAAAAATATCGAGCTTTTTTCATGTAAAAAAAACATACCCAAAGAAACAAAACGTAAAGTTTTAGATGCTGCAGTTGCTTTTGTAGCTCAGGATACAAGACCTTTGAAGGCCATAGATGGTACTGGATTACAGCAACTTACCGTATGAGCTGCTGTATTCAGATTGGGGCAAAGTTTGGTAATGTGCCTGTGATGGAAATTATACCGTCTCGAACAACTGCGCAGCGCCGGGTTATTGAGAAGACAGCGGCTGTCAAAGGCTCTCTCATAGATGAAATAAAAGTAGCAGTGGAAAAGAATTTCTTATTTGCTGCCACTTTGGATATGTGGACGGATGTTAAAATGCGACATTTCATTGGTTTTACTGTACACTTTATCGACGAAATGAACATCCTGGAGTCTCGTATACTTACTGTATACAGTTTTGAGCAAAAACCTAAATCTGGTGAAAATATTCGATTACGTGTGGAAACTGTTGGTGAACAGCTCGGCATTTCCCAACAAGAGCTTTTGTTGCATTGTGTGTTTGTGACTGATCAGGGTAGCAATATAAAGGTTGCCCGGTTGCCCTGGCTTATTACAAACGTGTGCCCTGTGCTTGTCACATGCTAGAGACTGTTCTTACTTACAACTTGACATACTTTACAACTTGATGCATTAAGTCGCACAGTAGAACCAATTACTTCTGATGATCAAAAAATGATATTTGTTGATAAAGTGAAAGCAACTGTCAATGGGATTAAAATTCTTGCAAAATTTGTGAAAATATCAGGATTACGTGATTCTATTTCTCCTGGATTAGTGCAAAGCTGTCCAACACGATGGAGTTCAACTTTAGCAATGCTACAACCTTTCACTCGCACAAGGCTCCGACTGCAAAGAGAATTGTCTGAATGTGGCCGGGAAGATAAATTATTGCCTATTGATTGATACAGCAGTAGTCTGTGATCTTATTCAATTTTTATTGCCATTTCCCAAAGCCATCAAATTTTTGGAAGGCGATTCATATTCTACGATTCACAGGGTATATCAGTGGATAGAAAAAAATAAAAACGAGGCCAAAACCCAACGATGCACCGGTTTTAAAATTTTCAAAAGAAAGGGGGTTTGTGTGCTTGAGGGAAAAAAGTTGAAATTCATGATATGCATCGTTTGGGTTTGTTTCTAAATCCCATATACAAATCACTCATCGTCTTCGATGATTATGAGAGAAAAAGGATATACGCAATGATTGAATATCTTTTAGAGCAATTTGAGTTGTCTGGCATAACGCCTACAGTTAGTGTGACCAAGGATGACCACACTTATGCTCCAGAAAAAAAAAGACCAAAATAATTTGATGATGAGTTTATAGAATGGCAAGACTTGCCACAGCCTAGAGCAGGGCTACTCAACTGGCGGACCGCGGTCCGAATCCGGACCTTTTGAGTATTTGATTCGGACCGCACCTAATTCTTCATTTTGAATCATTAGCCCCACATCTAAAGTTTCATTTTACAAAATAACTTTTAGGGTGGAGATCAAAACCTCATTAAAGTTAAATCTGGATTAAGACTGATACCGGATTTGTTGAACTCAGTTTAACTTTAAAACTTAATCGGAGATCAAAAACCTAGTTTACCTAACTAATCCTGGTTTAATTTCCATGCCACGAGGCATTTTACCAAAACGTCGTGGCGTATTGCCCTTTGACCCTGTATTTCCATAGTGATACGTTTGTAAACAGTTACTCCATTTTAGCTGCAGAGCGTGTTGTGCTGTTTCTGTGATTGAAGAAGTGAAATCTGTAAGCCGTGTAATTTTTGTGATTAGAAATAATTTAAAATGGATGTTATAGACATTGTGGAAATAGTAGATGAAGAGGAATTGGGCATGGGGAGACAGGGGGTGATTTTGAGAACGTATTTGCGTGACTTGCAAGATCCGTTTGGGCTGTTTAATGAGAAGGAGTTCATACAAAGATACAGATTTTCGAAGAATAGTGTACTGATTTTATTCGATATAATAAAGAACGATGTCGAAATAACTGTTCGCAAGCATGCCCTCCCACCTATGCTTCAACTCCTAACTACTTTACGGTTTTCGCCTGTGGCCATTTTCAAATGACAGATGGTGATTTGATGGGAATGAGTCGACATACCGCACGCAGATCCATTCACAGAGTTGCGACTTGCTCCGCTAAATGGAAGCCTACATTTATTGATTTTTTTCAGTCAAGATTTGTCTAAAGTAAAACGAGATTTTTTTGATGTGGCTGGGTTTCCGTCGGTTATTGGAGCTATTGACTGCACGCATGTGGCAATTCAGTCACCAGGGGGCGAAGACGCGGAGATATTTCGAAATCGAAAAGGATACTTTTCTATAAATGTTCAGGCTATATGCGATTCCAACAGAGTCATTACTAACATCGTCGTAAGATGGCCTGGATCCACACATGACTCCAGGATCTTTGCAAATAGCATCATACATGATAAACTAGAGGAAAACGGGATTAATGGATATTTATTAGGCGATAATGGTTACCCTTGCAAACCGTATTTGTTAACCCCTCTTTTGAACCCTGCAAGTGGCAAACAAAATAGATACAACAAGGCCCACATCCACACCAGAGCTAGAATTGAGCAGTGCTTGGGTATATTAAAACAACGTTTTAGAGTACTTTAATATAAAATGAGGACGAGGCTGGACAACACGCTAACCATAATTTTGGCAGTTGCTTGTCTGCATAATTTTGCTGTCAAAACAAACCAATCCCTGGAACAAGATGCTTTCGTAGACACAAGTGATGACACACACCGAAGTCACCAAGTACAGCAGGGGTCGGGCACCTTTTTGGTCAAGAGAGCCATAAAGGTACATATTTACAATTGCATTTCCGTGCGAGCCATGCAGCATTTTTTTCCCTTGATCAAGTCAACACATACAATTTCTCAATATACATTTAATGTGACTTCTGATGCTGCATATTGTTGCTGGGGCCTTGAACGAATGCTCACATGCAACACATTTTAAAATCGACGATACCCATCGCCTTTCTTTCTTTTAGGCATCTCCGTAGTGCTAAATATTATGAATAAACAGTACAAACGGACGGAAGACATTTCTTGGTGCTCCCAAAGTATGCGAACCCAGATGGCGGACATCGGAACGTTAACATGGGTAACAGGTTAGGGTAGGCGATAATTTTTTTCCAATTTTCCTTATTTTAGTCCTATTATCAGTTCGAAGACTAGCCAAGAGCCTCCCGTAGTATTTATACCTAAAATTATGGCCTAACCCTAACCAAGTACACATATTACCTTCCGATGTCCGCCATCTTGGTTCGCATACTTCGGGAGCCCCCATTTCTTTATTGCAACTCTATCGCTTCCTGGTGTCACAAAATATGCTGCAGATAGTTTTGTCACAGTGCCTGTCTGGCACTTCTCTTACAAAACATAGACAGGCGTTGAGCACGTGTTTTCAAACGTATTGGCAAATGTTCTGCGAAATTTTGCAATAACTTTATAGTTTGAGAACTGGTAACAATAGTAAGCTTGGTCTTAGATTTTTCTGGGAGCCATATGCCGTCACCAAAAGAGCCGAGCCATGGGTTCCCGACCCCTGAAGTACAGTCATATCAAGCTCGCGCAAACGTTATTGACCAATATTTTTGACCACTCTCCTAGTTATTTACCAATTTTCAATTCCTGCTTAGTAAACTGTTAACATTGATTTTATTATTGCTAATATGTTCCAACAAGGTCAAACTCCGTTTTGGATAATAGCCACAAGACACACATTTCATTGTGGGATACAACTCCTAAAACTTAGAAAGACTTTACAAGAAACTATTAGAAAATATAATATCAGAACTGACATACCCACCAAATATTTTTTAACAATGATCTATTATCAAAGAAATGTTTTAATTCACCATTTTGCAACAAGAACAAATAAAACAATGAAAAAAACTGCTTCATTCCAACATTGCTATTTTTTTTCGGTAATACTCCATTTTTATGACATGCTCCTCCCTTCTCATTATCCTCTCCTCCACCATTGCCTCCAATTTCTCTGTTAAAACCCTTCTTTTCAAGTCTTCGATTGTGTTGCCATACTGTCTATCTAGAAATAATGTTATGATGCCGCTACTGATATTTTCCATCATGACATGATAACTAAACTAATATTGCTCTCAAATTGAATGCCTGCCTGCCTGCGTTTAAGCTACTTCTGTCAATATTTGCAATAAAAACAGTTCTTGAATTGAATACGGCTTAAACTTTCAATAATACTGCTGTTCTGTTTATCTGAGTAAGTTGTCAAGTTGCTACTGCTGAGCTACTATATCATGGAAGTATTTTTAAAACATACATTGCAGGGACGGGAACATCATAATCATGTGAATAAACTATCCATATGTTCTGAACAAACAGAGAGTCTTGCCCAAGTGGGATATATGTTGCATCTGAATGGCAATTATCACTAGAATACCTGTACTTGCAACTTCAGATGTCTTTTGCAAAACTGTTGATTTTTGACCTGAAAAACAACAAAAGAAAAACGAAATACAATTCTCGGTACTAGACCTCAAATCATTAGTCAACCGTCAAAATTAAGTATCGAAAGTCGCCTCTGCCATGAATAAAGCCTGAAATTACAAAAAAGCAAGTTTCTCATTCAAGCAGATATTGATTATATGACCCACAGTCCTTCTTCTCCTTAACAAATATATATACAGGGCGTCTCAAAAAAAAAGTATACACTTTCAATTTTAATTTGCTTTTCAGCTTATCATAGATCATTCATTTCTTCAGGAAACATAGTATGGATAACTACTAGTGAAAGGTATTGTTTGCATTTTCATCAACCCACATAATGACAAGGAGATTAACCCAAAAATGAGGTACAAATTGCTGTTAGGCAAGAAGCATCCATAAAGCACTGAGTGTTTTCCTAGGAGCGTCCCATGCTTGGTCTTCCTCATCCTTATGCATCAACTACATATCCAATTTCCATAAACTTACGATGAATTGCATAAATTGCACCTTTTTCTTTGGGTTAATCTCCATTTCATTCTGTGGTTTGAAGAAAATACAAACAATACCTAAATTTTACTAGCTATCCATACTATATTTTCTGAAGAAATGAACGATCTATGATGAATACCTGAAAAGCAAATAAAAATTAAAAGTGTACACTTACTTTTGAGACACCCCGTATATATACCTATTCATTAAAAAAGTCAGGCCATCCCTGCACTAGTTCATTGAGCCTCATCAAATTTAGTCCTATATTGCGGATCTTAGTAATATTTTTTTGATGATTGAACTTACCAGCTGAGGAAGATGACAACTCCTCCGCTACTGGGACAAGTGTGTCTGGAAAGCGAAAAGAAATTGGGAATCTCAATTATACAATATCACTATTTCACCAGTTAAGCTGTAGATAGTGACACAACAAATGAAGAATTCGTTTTAGGCACTGCAGATATCCTTGTTGCATATATATTACAAAATGATTACCGGTAAATATCTGCTCATTGATATCAAAAAAGGCTGGTTAATGAAGTTATAAACAGACATTATTAAATTTATGTGGAAACTACGAATATCCAAGCAGCAGTAAATTTTGCAACCATACGTACACAAAATGCATTTAATGAATACAGAGAGAAGCAGAACTAGTATTTCGGAGGCATAAGAAACTAAAATCGGTTATATATTGTGGTGCCATATTACTTTAATGCCACCAATTACTAGCAGTAAATATAAACTGTTAATAACATACATGTCTCTTCTTCAGGTGGTGAGTATGAGCTTTGACTTTGATAGTCATCGTCAAAGTTGTTCGTGAGACAATTGATCTGCCTTGGAATTAGAGCTGAAAAACAATTTGATAATTAAAGCAAATCAAGTCTGAATAGAGAAAATAGTTAAACACAATTGAGGAAAATTAGTAGGTACATTTGATGATATGCATTCATAGTCACAAGATATATATGTTGTATCAATCAACACATCATATTTGAAACAGATCTACAAATATGTGAAAAATGCAGATAACATACCCTCCACTTTCTCGCTTAGCTCATCGCAAAGCAGATCAGGACCACCTCCAGTTCCCCTTAAATGACGTTTCATCTGAGCATTGTCCTGCTTGGCCTTATTTTTTATATTTTTCCACGCAACTTTCAAGTTTTTTTCAGTTCTGCGACACAAGGTGCCAGTTGCATTGAATTTGGCTTCGATTTGCTTCCAAGCCAAATTCTTTTGTTCAACTGACACCTTGTCCGTTTTTTTGCACTCCACCTCAGGATGTTCACTTATGGGCTGTACAAGAACATTTTTTTCCGCTAATACAAAATTTGCTGATCTTGCCATTATATAACACTGTAATGTATTTAATATACGAGTATAAGATATAACTATATGGGCTATTCCAAGTGATTTTGCATGCATGTTGTTAGATGCAATATATTTTTACTTTTCCAGCTGCATGTCTTGTGTTAATCTCCAATCAGTTGCTTTATGGGGTTGAAACAAAATTGCACAACTTACAAAAAAGACTTACTTAGAGGAATAAAATATATATTAAAATATAGCGTTACTCTACAGGACAGCAAATCCACCATATATTAACGTTTCACTGTGTTATAATGTAAATTGCTGCGATGGTCCAAGTCGGGTATGGGATTGTTTTCGGAAGCATGGACTTGATGGTGGAGGAAGCTGTAACCGACCAGCAGGTACGTGAACCACCCAACGGCGACGAAGAGTCCAGCAATCCTCTCTCACATAATCATCCCTGCATGGGATTGAACCTGCGAACCCACGCAGAGAAATCAGAGATGCAGTGGCAGCGTATTCATAACGCTTAGCAGTAACTTAATGTAACACTGTATATCCATGCCAATGAATGTGACTCTATTGGACGTGACTGAGTGACAGCACTTTCTATCATCTCTTAGAATTTTGGTAATAAATCGTTAGATAGGCGATGACATGTCCTACAGCAGTGGTCGGCAACCTTTTTTCAGTGACGGACTGGTGAAGCTTGACCAAAATTTTAGCGGACCACTTCTATACAAATTATTACGCTATTACGTTTCTTACGCTAGGCCTACTTCGATATTTCGTTTTTGTAGTTGTCAATTTTAAAAACCTGACCTCACATAAAGGAAACAATGCTATTACTGTATTAGGGCATCGTACGTTTTTTGTGTCACCTTTCTGCGGACCGCGGTGGGCCGCGGCCCGGTGTTTGCCGACCACTGTGACCTACAGCATTGCAGACATTCGAGCTTTATAAACTTAAATTCAGTGGTGAGTGCATCCCATTGAAATGAAATAACTGTACCAGACAATCAAAACACTTCAGTTCAGGATTCATCACAAAACATGTTGAATATATTAAATTTCGGGTCTCCTGAAATACAAGCCGCAAGTACCTATTTCTAGTTGGCCTGGCTCAACAATTTTTGCATATGTCATTCCTAACCCCCACCTGACTATTTCATCCAAAAATTACATTACTGTGAAGTCGCAGTGGCGTAATACGGCCCACCAAAGTATAGATATGGCTGGTCGTGCAGATAATCATCCGAAATCGAGCAAGCTATTTCTCGTAGAAACGATACCGATAAGAGAGTAAACGCTGACTTTAGCAAGCTCTACGACGTGATTGTGACGTTTTAGTGATGTAATTTTTGGATGACGTACTCAAATGGGGGTTACAAATATTATACTAATAAAATCGTTATGCTACGCCCACTAGAAGTACATGAGGGCGAGTACTTCCGGAGACCCAAATTTCTATATTTCAGATCACTTTGTGTAAATCATCAAAAACCTGGATGAAATTTTAAATTTTTCTGTGAAATGAATGCATTCCACTAACATTCAAATGTCTTTTGATAAAAAATATATCGAACAATTACCCACTGCACTTTACAATACAATACTTTACAACTTTTTAAAAAATTGAGGGAATTCAACTTTTGCTTGGAATGTCCCATATATATTTATATATTGATAACCTATTTGAAACCTGAATAGATGCTGTTGATATCCGTACGGTACGCAGAAGTTATCGCTGCCTGCAGTGCATGAACCACCCATCCCGCAACGACCGCACCTAATCAACGTAGCCAGTACCGGTACGGTACTGCACCTATATATCGCTCCCAGACCTCTCTGACCCGACTGACCGGCGCTACATTAGCCCATCTAACAAATACCCAGTCAGTGCACGCGTAGAAAACCCAGTTAAACCACCTCCAGACCAGGTTTAAAAAATCGCCAATTTTAAGTGTGGCTCAACGGGTTAAGCGTTAGGAATACGCTCGCCACCGCACCTCTAATAGACCTTATTCATTAAAAACCCATCCTACGCGCAAAAAGAAAAGTGATGTAAAAAAATTTTTTTTAACATTAGCTCTTATGGGGAATGTGATCACCAGAGCAGAAATTTGCATTTTATCTCATTTTCTAGATATCTTTCATTGTATACGTGAGCAGTTTTGAGGATAGAATATTTTTTACATCTTTTTTGATATTTTTATTATAATAAACATGGTCAAGATTTTTAATAATCGTTCATTGAAATTTTAATGAGCGCGGTGTTTCCGATGACGTCATTCTCACTAGACCATGAGATTCTGCCAACGCACCGTGCTCTGTGGGATATGTGCCCCAACTGCTTGTGATAACAGATTACTGGAAAACCGGTACTGGGACCACAACTGGCGTTCAACGAAAGACCTATTTTGGTTTTAATTGGATGTTATATATTTCATGAATTCCATGTACATTTCTGGTACACCTTTCAAAATCCAATGGCCTAACTCAGTTCATATGTTGACGGTACCTATCCCAAAATTGGTGATGTTCAGGGCTGGATTTAGACCATGAGAGGCCCCTTCATATTTTTGAGCTCAGAATTTCTCTCTAAAAAACACCACATTTAATTGCTTAAAATTTAAAAATATGAAAGCATTAAACTTTTCATTCTCCCCATTCTTGGGTGTGAATTAAAAGAATGATAATTTACTTGAGGCAGTTTTGCTTTCAATTTCTTTGATCAAACAACCGCTACAGCCATACTTCAACATAGAAAATTCCAGCAGAATGCGCATAATAATAATTTCCCCTATTATGATGCAAACGACGCAATAATGGCTGTTTACAATGTGGTTGAAACTAGTTGTGTACAGAATTTTCTACTCTGAAAAGCTTGATATATATATAGGCTATATACTTTTTGTAGGGTTTAAACTTGTCAGGTTTTCAAAAGAATTACAAACTTTGAAACCGAATTTCGAGGCTCTAGGTTTCAGCCTGCCTAGCCTATTGGTAAATCCAGTCCTGGTGATGGTCCCTACAGCAAATTTCTGGCCCTAATCACCCAGCAGATTGAAATAAATGGTTTTCAGCATTTATTAGCAAAGATAGATATTTTAATTAAACATATAGTTCTTCCACAACTGAAGACATATTAAACTTAAAGCCTGTATAATGATATTATAATTATATGTCCCATTATTACTGCATTGTGAGAAGGCTTTCCACACTATCAAGTCTATAAGGTTTTGGCGTCTTCCAATGTCTCAGATGGAAACTTCAGTCTTCATTTCGCATATTCTTTTCATTAATGCCATTAGCATTTGAAGCTTGACTGATTCCAATGTACCTTTTCCATTGTTGTTTAATGTAATATTCTAAACGTGCCTTCAAATTTTTTTCTCACTTCAATCATCACATGTTTGAATACCCGAGCTGACCTCTATTGATTTGTTATTAATTTACAATTTTTTTTTATAAATTACCTGTCGTACTTGCTGAGTGTCCACTAAGTGAAAATCTACAAAAAAAAGCAGTGTTTAATAATGGACTACATTTTTAACCGAATCCAAAAATATTCCGTAACTTAGTCAACCCTTCCTCCGAGGAGTTTTTGTTAAAACATCTTAATTAACTGTTAATCTTGATAGCAAACATGGGGGGGTGATGGCTGTGATGGTCGTATCGCTCCCCAGTCTATACCAAATAACTGTGTGTTTTGTATAGGATTTTTATTGATTCAATGCTTGTATTCTGGTGGTTGACAAAATAAATCTCCCTCTCGTATTCAGTCATGTTTTTAACCTAGTTACGAGACCGGTATTGTACCATTATAGGTTGGAGATATTCATCTTTTTTGTATACCGGTACCGTACAACTTGTCTTGCCTATTGGCAAGATGGCGAACATTTTTGTTCGTAGGCCTATTTCAGTATTTACTAAATAATTTAGTTTTCACCCCTTGCAGCCTTGGTACGGTACCGGTAGTTTAAATAAAACGTCAGCATGCCTTCAGTAAATGATTGCTAGCTGTACAGGTATAAATGCGTAAAACCAGTAAACAAACGTGATAGAAATGGTACGGGTTATAGATTGTCAATGATAAACGCTTCCAGTACCGGACGGACACGGACCCAAAGCGACATTAGGGCCGCATTTGCAGCGCATATCCCACAGAGCACGGCGCGTTGGCAGAATCTCATGGTCTAGTGAGAATGACGTCATCGGAAACACCGCGCTCATTAAAATTTTAATGAACGATTATCAAAAATCTTGACCATGTTCATCATGATAAAAATATCAAAAAAGATGTAAAAAATATTCTATCCTCAAAACTGCTCACGTATACAATGAAAGATATCTAGAAAATTACAAAAAATGCAAATTTCTGCTCTGGTGATCACATTTCCCATAAGAGCTAATGTTAAAAAAAAAATTTTACATCACTTTTATTTTTTGCGCGTAGGATGGGTTTTTAATGAATAAGGTCTATTACTCTGCATGGGTTCGCATCTCAGGCAGGGATGGTTATGTGCGAGAGGATTGCTGGACTCCTCGCCGTCGTTGGGTGGTTCACGTAACCGCTGGTCGGTTACGGCTTCCTCCACCACCAAGTCCATGCTTCCGAAAACAAACAATATAACTAATCCCATACCCGACTTGGAATGGTAACCGGACGAGAGGCCGTGGTTCGCCATATGGATAAGCCGTCTTATCGGCTTTCCTCTCCCCCGGGATAAATATGTAAATCCTATCCTATCCTAAGTCGAGATTTACGTCACAGAAAGTTAAACCACCTTTTTGATCCGGACTTAAACCGCCGATCCAAAGTTAAACTCCGATTCGAGGTTAAACTACCTTTTTGATCTCCACCCTTATTGTTTTGAATATATGTGAAATGAGCGATAACACCATAGTAAACAATCTTGATTATCTGGTATCATTATCCGGTCGAGGAAGTGCGCGTTTACGAATGCCGAAATATAATTTCTGGAAACCCCGGACCCAAATAATTTTGAAGTTTTGTATGTTGATCTTCGGTA